TAACTGGGACAAATTAAACGGTCCAGCATCAGGGCCTGAAGGCATCGCTTGAACATTTTTCGTCCGATATACCCCGGGTCTGACGGCCTATCTTCAACGTACCGGGTCTGACTCCGTCGATTTAATAAATATATATATATATTTTATTACAGACAAAAATTGTTTAACATAAAATAAAAAATATTAATTTAAAATCCGTATTTGGCTCGGCTCATCATACGGTTGTTTTTGCTAGTTGCCCAAGCGCTTTTCAGTTCTTGTTCGTTGGCTTTTGCCTGTTGCGCTAAATACGTGATGTGGTGCTTTTTCCTTCGTGTGGGATCTACCTCATCCTCGGTTTCCACTTTTGCTGCCAGGTCAGGATCTAAAAAAATTGAGTAAATAAAAAAATAAATAGTGCATGACTTTAGAGGCACAAAATTTTGCATAAAGGTTCTCCAAGTTATGTAAGTGAGCACTATGGAGCGTTTTTTTTTAAATTCGTCCTCTAACAATATGAAAATTTGTATGAAACTTCGTAACCACTGGATTTAAAAGCATATAAAGAAAGTTGCATAAAGGTTCTTTAAATCACACATGGGGAGTCCCATTTTCGTGTGTATGATTTCTCGTTCATGAGTAGAGATACAAAGATGCAGTTTCCACATCGCTGTACTACTTTTTTATGAAACCTAAGATGCTATACACACAGATTTGTTGCCCCCTTGGTTTCTGAAATACAGGCCGAATTTGAAAATGTTGAATTTTTCGACTCCCTTCATATCTCGGTTATCATAATATAACTTATCGAAAATATGAAGACTGAGTCCTGTAGAGTTTTTCACATAGAACTCAAGACGTAGTTAGATTTTCGCTCGGATCTCTCTTTCTTGAAATATGACCCATAGTTATTTTTTGTTTTTTAAATGAAATACCCTGTATATTGCTTTTTATTTTATTTGTCTTGTAATGTGCTTTCTCAAAATATAGTATAGTCTAACTTATTTTCATTAAAAACTAGGTGAATTTATGTTGAACAATTAATTTTTTTACTTGTTTATGAAAATAAGTATAGGGCATAGGTATCTTTTTAGAAAGCTCATAATAAGACAAATAAAATAAAAAAATTATATACAAAGTTCCCATTTAAAAAAAAATATAAGTTTGTTATATTTCGAAAATGACAAGTCTCAGCAAAAAACTAGTTACGCCACTGGATTCTACGTGAAAAACTCTGTGGGCCTTAGTCTTCGCCTTTTCGATAAGTTATAGGATAACCGAGAGGAGTCGAAAAATGCAAAATTTTCAAATTCACATTTTCAAAACTGTGTGTAGCATCGTTAGTTTTATAAAAAAAAAAAGTATAAAGAGTAGTAGGAAGAACTTTAAGAGAATTTTCTGAAAAACCATCATTTAGGAAGTAAAAAAAATGAAAATTCATAACAGTTGAGTCTAGAAATATAAAATATTAATTTACAACTTTATTGAGCACTCGAAACTTTGATGAAAGTGAAAAAATCTTGAAATAACCTAAAGTAATATGAAAAAAACATAATCTTCACTGACCTGTTAAAGATTTTGTCATCCATATATCTTTATCAGGTAAAATCTCTTCTTCATTAATATCAATCAGTTTTATATTACCAATAGGCATCTTACTCTTACCAACCAATTCCTTAAATGCAACATTATCTAGTCCATCATATGGTTTTTCTGGTTCTGGCGCTATGTCCACTAAAATTAATATATTTATTTTATTTTTATTACTTTTTTGGTTAAAAATATTGCTGACAAACCTATTGCAGGTGGTTCTGGTTCTTTATTCATTACAGGCTTCTTTTTAGGCCTACCACAAACTTTATTCCACATTTCATCATCAAAAGTTTCGGGAACTTTTATTTCCTCATCATCAGTATCACTATCCGTAGCACTAGATAACTTTTTAACAGGTGGCACAACACCTGGTTTCTTCTTTTTTACAGTTGTACTTTTTGGAACAGGAACATTTCTAGATATCACTGATTTTGGTACAAAACTGGTGTTTGATAATGGAGTTGTCTTAACTGGCGGTAAAAGTCCTAGAAAGAATTCATATCAACCTTGAACGAGTAACTTTATACAACATTTAACTGAACATTTACCTAAAAGACCGCTACTTTTATGAGAAAGTTTTGATCTCTTTTTTAGCGGTTCTGAATCAACTATATCATCAAAATCTGATAAGGAAGGTATGGTAATTTGTACTTTTTTAGATTCTTTTATTGACTTTACTGTGGGAATGAAGTCTTCTAACTTATCTTCAGTCTCTTCTCTGCTTGATGAAGCTTCAACTTTTGCCTCAGGCAGGGCAGAAAAAATGGTAGGTAGTTCTTTGGGTTTATGTAAGATCACTTTTGAATTTTCGTCTTCTTCACTAATTTCATTTTCACTTTCACTATTCGTATCGTACGCTACTAATGCCATTATAAACCAGTATCAGCAAGTATACACGTATTTGTTAACAAAAACACAACATCGCACCAAAAAAACGTAGCTATACGAAATACCTACAAATATCTCTAACCTCTATTTTCTTTGCAGTATATCAAAATAAAACATAGATTATCATACAGAAACTCGAATTTAGGGCACTTCTAAAATTGGTATAGCAAAATTAAAATTTAGTGCTAAATGCTAATTACAAAACAAAATGTAAAAGAGATTTAAATGTCAAGAGACGAGAGACCTTAACCTTTAATCTTCTACTTTGGTTGGTTAATTTTTTATCAGCACATTTTTAAATTTCAAAATACATTTTATAACTTAAAAATTGCTCTTATTGTTCATTTTAAGTTGTAAAAGTGTCGTAAAATAACATATTTTTATTTTAAAATAGGTAATAATCTCATTTGGATAACATGATCAAGGTAGCTATTGAAAATATAATCCCTCAAGTGGATATTACAACAAAAATATGCACTTTTGTGTTATAAGTAATCTTATTTCAATTTTAGGGCTTCGTGAGTTTAGTTACTGGCGGGGCGTCCGGTTTGGGACGTGCCGTTGTTGATCGCTTTGTACAAAACGGAGTAAAAGTAGTGCTGTGTGATCTCCCCAATTCCAAAGGCAAAGAATTAGCAGAGACAATTGGAGAAGATAAAGTTGTCTTTGCTCCAGTTAATGTAATACTATAATTAAAATTGTTTTTATGTAGTATATAAGATTTCTCGCGTATTTTATAGATAGTAAACGAAAGTGATGTACAAAATGCAGTGAATTTAGCCAAAGAAAAGTTTGGAAAACTTAATGCTGTAGTGAACTGTGCAGGAATAGCTGTAGCCTTTAAAACGTACAATTTCAATAAGAAACAACCACATATGTTGGAAGATTTTAGCAAAGTCTTACAGGTATAATAACATACATAGGGTGCATTGTTGATGGAAACATAGGAAATCCCATGTAAATTTTGTACATGTAAAAAAATGTTCAAATATTGGCTCCCCTATTAATTTTACAGCGAAGTCGTAAAAAGGTTTTTTAGAGGTCTGTGTATTCTGAATAATACTTGTAATAATTTGTATTCAACATATGCACACCTTTAAAAAACCTATTAACTTGACTTCGCTGTAAAATCAACAGGGTATCCAATATTTGGACATTTGAAAATTTGCAAGGGATTTCCTGTTTCCAATGCCAATGCACCACCCTATATTATAAATATACATTATTTTATTTTACATTATTTTTTATACTTAAAGAATATCCTTCTAGGTAAACACTATCGGTACATTTAATGTTATCCGCTTAGCAGTATCATTAATAGGTGAAAATGAACCCGATACAAATGGTCAAAAAGGCGTGATAGTCAACACAGCCAGCATAGCAGCCTTTGATGGTCAAATGGGTCAAGCTGCTTACGCTGCCAGTAAAGGGGCCATAGTCAGTATGACGCTACCTTTAGCAAGAGATTTAGCTGAGCAAGGCATAAGAGTTGTTACAGTTGCACCAGGTATATTTAAAACTCCTTTGGTGTCGCACCTACCAGAAAAAGTTGTAGCATTTCTGGAGAAATCAGTGCCATTTCCCCCGAGACTAGGGGATCCCGCAGAGTTTGCACAGCTGGTGCAAAATATTATAGAAAATCCTATGTTAAATGGTGAAATAATTAGATTAGATGGTGCCCTTCGAATGATATAGAATATTTTTTAAATAGCTTTTTTAAGAAATTCCTTAGTGTATTTCTAGTTTTATATTGGACAATTGCATATTTGTATATAAATACCTGTTAATTCTTGGTTGTTGTTTTTTGTTTAATACATTCATTCCCATATATCTTTAAGACTGCTTGGTGTTAGGTGGTGTTAGTTACTTCTTTTATATTTTAATCAGATTTTAATTATTATTATAATACATAAAACAAATTATCTATTCACAATTTCTGGTACAAAATTTTTTTAACCTAACCACACGAACCAAACCAACTATTAATTATAAAGTGGTATTTTTATTTTTTATTTCTAATTGAGCAAGGTTATAAAAAAAGTCGGAAAAAATATATGCGAAAAAATAAACAAACCCATAAATATAGATATATCCAGCAAACCAAACCACTTCCATATCTCTGGATATATCCCATGGATATATCCTATACATATACCGTATGATCGAGAAAAAACGGCGTCAACGATGGCTATGAAATGAAGATCGCTGTCATTTTATATGTAAAATTATGGGGAATGTCATCGATGTTCATTTCCAAGCCAACTGGACGCCGTTTTTATTCGATCATACTGTTACGGATTCCGTGGGTCCACTCAGGTCCATTATTTAAACTCACGATAAAATACTTAACGAATTTACTTGTTTCACCCTGTACACACAACTTATACTATTTACAACACAACTTATGCAACTACTATTACTCTAACGGTATTTCGCGGTATTTTCAAACTTCAGACTATCTTCAGACTTTAGACTTCAAACTTTAAACTTTAAACTTGTCCAACTGTCAAAGAGGGGGCCTTATATACCCCCTGGCGGTTGTTTCTAGATTTTTCTAAAGAATTCTATAATTTTCTTTACTTTCTGGCGAATGCGCCAGGTTCCTCAATGCATGTTGCGATTTTTTAGCAGTATGCAGTTATGCAACCAGTAATACACCTTGACAATATGGTATATCCCACTTACCGTTACATATTAAAACTTATGAACCATATTGTTTTAAAAACATTTTATTCAAAATATGTATACAGTTTATCATGTTATAAATAAAAACAGAATAATTAATAAATTGCTAGGAAATTTGTACTACAAATTTATAATATTATTAAAATATGTAATAATATAGAGTGTAATCAGGAATAATGGCTAGAAGTGAAAAAAATAATTAAAATACGTAATTCACTTTTAGAAGTTTAAAATAAAAAAGTTGCTGTCAACTTCCGGTTTTTCCGGAAGTGCCCGTCATATTGAAAATATTTTTAATTGATAGATCTTGTTGTGAAACAATGATGTGCAAAAAATCTCCGATCAAGATATAGTAGTTCTCCAGAAACTTCTAATGCACGCTCAACCTGGAACACCCTGTATATGGAACCGGCAATCGTGCGTCGGGTATATGTAGCTCCTATACCAAAAAAATTAGAAATTGAGGTGCAGACCTAAAGCACGGCATCCTAAAGTATCTATTAGGTGTATTTCAGGAAAATATTTAAACTTCTACAGAGTAGCGCAAAAATTGTGTGATTGGCATTATTTTTTTTAATGGAACACACTGTATATTATTTCATTTTGACTTTCTTTCTTACCATTTTACATAATCCTAAAACATAATAATTAACTTAACCTTAAAATACGTTTGGATCGTTTAAGAGATATTACGAGTAATAAATAATTAAAAAAAATTTTTAGCCTTTTTTTAAATATTAAAATACAAGAATTGTCCTGAAATCAACACTATACTAGATATTTACTATACTTGATCTGTACTTACTTTCTTAAAAATATCGTAATCCTAAACCATACAGGGTGTTCAAAATTCTATGCCAACTGTCGAGATTTCCATATTAAGAAGAGTACAATGCGTTTATAATGTACTGAACAAAGAGAGGACAGTAAACACGTTGCCAAACGTATGAAATAAACCGAGAAACTGTGCACATCGCTAAGAGACGTGGGAGGAGATATAGCAGATTTGTCGCAGTTGACCGGTCGACCCAAGACCTAATCAGTCCTGTGTCAATTCAACCTCTGTCAGTACTTAAAGTTCTAGGGAAAGGTGTACGTCATGCGTTCAGCTTCACGATTTAATTACGTTTCGTGATACTTGATTTGTTTATTTATTAACGAGTCGTTGTAATTTTCCCTATAGCTTGAATTTTTTTAAGTGCAAGCTAGAAATGCTTGCATTTTTGGTAAAAATAAGTGGAACTGAGTGGGTGTTCGATAGTGGTCGCGCTATTAGAACTTTGAATTAAAAAATCGATATCTCGAAATCTATTAGAAATAATAGATTGTAGTTTTTTCAAGAACTTTGTTAATATTTCTGCTGTATTTTCTTTGTAGACAGTATGTGAAAATCTTTATCATTAAAAAAATTACACGATTGCTGAAAATTGCTATGTTCTAAAAGTAAATGGATGGATTGTTTACAATTTTTGAATGGAAAAAACAACCTTATCGAATTTTTCTTAAAAAAACTCAAAGTTTAAGTGAGGATGCAGTCAATAATCACCACATAGACTAATAAAACTACTTTTTCAAATTTGTCAAGCTTTCGAGAATTTTATTCCCATCATCAGGACAGTTTGACTGAGTCAATTAGCAAAAAAACATCCTTTGCACAAAAGGCCTTAAAACTAGCATCGTATGACATTGGACTACAAGGACATTTCCTTTATAAAATATTAAAATACATATCCAACGATATTACTTTTCTTTTAAACACAAACAAAAAGATTTTTTTAAAATTTAATTTCTACATTGTTATTTCGAGCTCGATCAAACAGTGATTGTTTAATAAAATACCAATCATTGATTGGTTTGTGATACCAATCATTATGTACATAATGATTGGTATCATTGGAAAACGATGCTAGTTTTTAAGGCCTTTTTGTGCAAAGGATGTTTTTTGCTAATTGACTCAGTCAAACTGTCCTGATGATGGGAATAAAATTCTCGAAAGCTTGACAAGTTTGAAAAAGTAGTTTTATTAGCCTATGTGGTGATTATTGACTGCATCCTAAAATTTTGAGTTTTTCTAACTTAGTCGATCCGCAACTAACTAATACTATTTTGAATTTTTCTTATGTAAACATATTGTAAAATATCCGATCTTGAAAATAAAAAGTTTCAATATCTAAAGTGGTTCTTGAGTTATGGCCTGTTATGTGTTAAAAAGTTGAGTTTTTAAATTATCGCGATTACTGATGTTTTCTCGTTATAAAAAAATGACACCCTAACGATATCCTTATAATTCCCATTTCAGATGCTCAGAAAACATATCTAATGATTTTATCTAGTTATCTCTTGAAAAAGTCTTAAAAAAATAAGCGGTGTGCGATCGTGATTTTACTTTACTTAATAGGGAAAGGCGTATCGGCAACGCCGCAACAGCACACCGTCGCGCGTCGTCGCCTCGGTCCGTCGCATTTCTCTCACTCCGACTTAATAAGATCCCTATACGATTTACTTCCACATGTAAATGCCGACCCAAAAGTAACAGTTGCCAGCACGGTATACTATAAGTTGCGTACAAAATGTTTTTAAAGGCTTTGCTATAGCTTTAAAAAATGACTCTGTGTTAGCGTAATTTTGGCGTCATTATAATTCTATATTTTTGTTATGTTTCAGATTATCTTCAGATAATTGCCAATCTCTCGAACCTCAATGGACAATTTAACTCAGGAAGCTTTCTTATCAGCTCTAACAGCCAGCTGTAGATATGATCGTTACATTAGACCAACATCAGAATCGCCATTAAAAGTTAATTTTCAAATCGACGTTAAACATATGGAAAATGTTGAAAACACGGTAAGAACTTACATTTTTGGCTATTTTAATTGTTAATAATATTATTCGATAAATTAATATCTGTCATATAAAATATAACCGATCCTATTATAGCCAATCATCAAGCAAATAAAGGAATATTTTCTCTAAACTTTGAAAATTTTGTGAAAACATTATGAATTCAAATATTCATTATGCATTATTCATAAAGGAAAATTGATTTTATTTGTTTTCTAACAATTCGTTAACCAATTATTGTATTGTTCTAATTTGGTTAGAACCTGGCATATGGTGATAAATATTTACTTAAAGTATTTTAGTTTTCCCATATTTTTTTTAATGTAAGGTCTTAAATATTCTTTTAATTTCTTGGATTGGAAATATCCACTTCCAATCAAATTTTTTTAATAAATTATCTCATTATTTTTTATTTTATTTTTCAAAAAAAATATTGGATTTCAAGGCACTGTTTGCCACTTAATTGTGGCTTATTTTCCGATCCATTATGATGTATTTTTTCCGATGATTTTTTTATTCCGATGTATTTTTAACTCATTTAAAAGATATCTCTATAATCCTGTGATATATATTCACTTTATTTTTAATATCCTATTTGTAAATAAACAACTGCATTTTCTGAGATTAAATGATTCTAAATATGACAAACACATTTTCTTAATTATTTGTTATTTAATTTTATCTTTAATGCAAAAAATACATTTTTTGAACAAGATATTAAATTTAATTATGATATTAAAAGACTTCCAAACTTTTTTTTTCTGTAGTTACAAATAATTTTAATTGATAAAATTTAAAAGATAATCTTATATAAACTGATTTGTCCAATTTTGCGATCTTTTTAGCTTTTCAAATCGCATATTTTAGTTCAACTATCGTTCCAAGATGACAGGTTGAGTTTCTCCGACATATCCCCTAACAGAGGTGACATACTCGGCCAAGAAACTTTAAGAAACAAGATTTGGGTTCCTCACATAGTCGTAAAAAATGAAAGAAGTTCAGGCTTGATGGGTCTCGACCAGTAAGTGGATATACCGGGTGCGTCTTAAAAGTGACACTTTGGTATGTTAGTATATGACATAAATTAGGATTAATTGATGTATTCAATTGTTTTTGGTCACTTCCTGTTTCACCGGAAATGACTACAACGTTTGATTTTTAAATGGCACCTTCGGTATTTTTTTAACGTATTCGATAGAAAATGACACACTGAATAGAATGACATATCATATGTCAACTTTTGACATTTTCGTATATGGTTTATTTG